CCTGCAGAGGTGGCCTCTGGGGTGGGCAGGGCCAGGCCAGCGCTCACCTGAGCGGCCCCTGCTCCCGAGACTGGACGCCGCGGAGCGGAGCTGGGGAGGTCCCGGCCCGCCCCCAGGGATCTTACGCCTGACCCCCACCCCCACCCTGTCCCTTGGGTGTGCAGGGAGGCACCTGGGGGGACCTCCTGGGAGTTTCCTGAACCAGCAGAGGGGTCCTGGAAGACGAGGCGGGAAGCGGGGCAGGGTGGTCAGGAGCCTGAGGCCCGACTCACGTGGTGGCCTGGGCTTTGTCCGCAGACCGCAGTAGGGGCCTGCACCCGGGCAGGGGGTTAGAGGGTCGGCCCTAGGCCAAGACCCAGGCCTGAGGCCAGTGGGGACACTGGTGTCACCGCCCAGGATAAAGGAGGGCAGGCTCTGCACATAGATGGCAGGCTGTCCCCTGGAGGGGGAGTGGGTGTCTTGGGGGTGTCCCTCTAGAATCTGCTGGTAGGAGGCCAAAGGGGCTTATTCCTCAGCCCCTGATGCTGTCAGCGCCCCACCCACTGTGCCCCCACTGGCGCTTCCCTGCACGGGACGGACTTGCTGCGGGTCCCTCCCCTGACCCCCTTCGGCCTCTTCCCACACTGGCGGGGCCCAGGGCTACCAAAGGCCCTGATCAGTAGGTGGCGCTGTTTTCACTGGGCGCTCGGCTCATGAAACAGCTCCACCCCTGTCCTTTGGTCTCCAAAGCGAGGGGCCACGTGGCCTGTTGTGTGTGATTTTTTTTTAATTAGACAGAAAACATAACCGAAGCAGGCACAGCGCTAATTTGTGAGTGATTTAGAATGTTGCGGAGGGAGCCTGAACTCAAGCCGCACACACCTGTGCGCACCCGCGCGTCCGCGGGACCGCGCTCCTGACCCCGCCTCCCTCCCTCCACGCGGGTCAGGAGCGGTGGTCGCCAGCACTCGCGGGTGGCCCCCGGCGGCTGCCATGTTTCTAGTGCGGGCACCCCTGCTGGGCCCAGGCTGAGGAAGGAGGCCCCAACCTCCTCAGTTCAAGGAGAGGGGGCAGCCCTATTGCAAAAGGGGAGACGGCCTGCATTCCCCACGCAGATGGACCCACGAGGGGGTGGCACTGGCTGGCTATGCTCATCGGCCTCTGGGTGACCCTCACTGTCACTCTTCAGAGGACTGGACGAAGCGACTGCAACTCGAATGCACAAACCCCAGGAGGGCGGGCCACCTCTGCCTGTGAAGGGGAAGCCCAGGCTGTGGGGACCTTGAGCCGGGACGGTCCCTCCCAGAGGAGCCACTTCCTGGGATTTTTTGATGTGAGAGCGAAGTGGGCCCGTGAAGAAGCGGTGACACTGGGGAACCCTCCAGGCGGCAGGGCCACCTTCTCGGGAGCACGAGGGCCTCAGTTTGAGCCCCTCTGTTCGCCCATCTACGAAGGGCGCCTTGCAGGTTCTGGAGGGCGAATTCCGCAACAAGATTCGAGGAGCCATGCTTCCCCTGCTCAGGACGTCCCTTCCGTGAGCTGGCTCATTGGCCCTTCGTGTCGTCAGTCTTGTGCCAGGCACACCAGGGACTGTGCATGGTCAGCAGTCTGGGTCGCCGGTGGCTGCCCAGCCCCCACCCCTGCAACCCCGGCGAAGCGAGTCCTGAAAACGCATTTCATGCAAACGACAGAAATCCCACTTATTTTTAAATGAATGAGAAAGCTCTCAGGCTCAAGCCGCCTTTGCCAGGACAGCACTGAGGATCCAGAGACAGGGAGTGAACAGATTCGGGCACACGGGGAGCCCAGCCGGCGTCCGGGGAGGCGGCTTCACCGGACTTCGGAGCGGGAAGCGGCGGGAGCCGCCTCCGCGCCCGGCGCTGTCCTTTCAGCACCTCCGCTCTGATGAGTCCCCAGAACCTTCCAAGCCCTGCGCGCTGGCCTCCCCCGCTCCGGGTGGCCTCCTCCTCCTGTCCCCACGTCATTGGCTACACTGAGCCGCCCAGCAGGGACTAGTGAGCTGACAAATCTGGCGGTGGCCACCGTCGTCTCACAGGCCAGCTCAGGGTTGTCACAAACCACGCCTGCATCCGACAAGCTCCTGTGCGCCCCCTCCCTGTGGAGCTCAGCGCGCAGGGTCTGACCCCGCCTCTGGGGACGGCTCACCACTGTCGTGTTCCCCCAGAGCCTGGCACGGATAGGGCCCCCGGATGGGTGGTCGGTGGATGTCGCGGCTGCTGGTGGCGGAGGACAAGTCGAAGCGCATCGGGATCGCTCCCTTGGGGGACCCGCGGTGCTGCAGAAAGCAGGCTCATCATTGCCTGGAAGCCCTCTTCTCTGCGACCCTAGGGGTTGTGACTGCTCTCACAGCCCAAACGTGGGACAGCGGGACCGGAGGAGAGTGCGGGGGACGTGAGATGGGAAGGGGGGGCTTCCACTGCCCACCAGCGTGGCCGAGGGGTGTCAGCCTCAGGCCGATCGCATGGTGGAGGCGGAAATGGATAGGCGGGGTTCTGTGGGCCGGTGACTGCGTGGACACTGAGCAGCAGTTTCCTGTCTCACCTGTACCCCCACCTCCTCCCAGCAGGAAGGAGGCAAGCCCCTGCCCCAGTCACAGGCCTTCAGAAACAGGGGGTCCTGGCAGAGGCCCAGGGAAGGCTCCGCCAGGCGGAGAAACGAGACTTCATTTGGGGAAGCGAGAAGGGACAGGTTCTCAGTCAATTAGCCTTGGTCAGAGCCTCGATGTAATTTGGACAACAGGAAGTGCCTGCCCGGACAGAAAGTCCCAGCCCTCCCCCCCAGGAATTTTCCATTATCTGGAGGAGGAAGGACTGTGTTTATACAGCTCAGGGGGAAGCAGGAAGGCGAGAAAAATATTTAAGATATGAAAGCATCGGGTTTTTTAAACATCTTACACTAAACTCAATGAAAATTTAATTTATACTTTATTTTTTATAAGGATCAGAGCTCTCAACCTTCCCCAGCCCCTGGCAAACCAGTTAACTGCATGAGGGAGCTAGACTGTGTTTCTCAGCCGCCAATGGTATCCTGACACTGGGAACCCATGGTTGCCCGTGACAGCGGAGACAGGCAGGGCAGCGAAGGCGGCCTGGACACGACAGTCCATCCAGAAGGCCGGAAGCCAACCTGTAGATTCCGGGTGTCAGGCGGTCGGGGGGGTCCCACATCCTCTCCCTCTGCCGACCAGCTCCCGGGAGCAAGGGTGGCATTGGGAGCGTGTGTGTTTTGTCTTTCTCAGTCCACGGGCTGTGCGGGCACTCGCGTCCCTGGCCCAGGCCACAGAAGCTGCCCATCAGTGTCCCTTGGATGAGAGACAGTCACGTGCTCTAGGCTGGGCACCTCTCGGAGCCTCTAGTTTGGAAGTGCCCCCAATGGGTGGCCTGAGCGTGTGTGGCTCCGGAGCTGCGGGCGTGGACTCTGGGAGGATGTGGCCATCCAGCTCTGTGCCGTGGAGACGGGCTCACCGCCGGCAGAATGGTCAGCCGCCTGCCCACACACGGGCTGCTGGCATCTGGGCCCTGGCTGCCCGCCCACTGCCAGCCCGGGCTCGCTTGAGTGCCTTGCTTGCTTGGCCAGATGTCCAGCAGGCTTCAGACAGAGCTGGCCAGTCTGGGTCAGGGCCTGTGGGCTGTCAGAGTCCCCACTCCGACCCACCCCCTCAGCTGGGACAAGGTCATCACATGCTAAGCCAGGGGGTTGGGACCGGAAGGCAAACCAGGGACACACCAACCCAGACAGCTAGACCCTGGGCCAGGGCCGGGGTCTGCCGGGTGGCCCCTGACCAACCACTCTGCCAGCAGACACCGGCCCTGCCAGCAGCACCGCAGAGGGCAGAGTGGTACTGGCTGCAGAGCATGGCCCGAGGGCGCCGCGGGCTCATCCGAGCTATGCAACCTTCAGCGGGTCACGTGACCTCGCATACATATAGCATGGGCTCCTCACTGGGAGAGGGGATACGGGCGGCTCCAGCTGACAGGGCTGCCAGGTGCTCAAGCGAGAGGACTCGGTGGAGCAGCGAGCCATCCCGGGGGCGTCCAACACGGAGCAGTGTCCAGGCAATGGCGGGAGGTGCCAGGGCCACCCCAGGCCCTGGACTGGAGAAACCTCCTTCCTTAGTCCCTTACGGGCCTCCCACAGACTGCAGTTGAAGGACCAGTCTGTCCCTCCCTGGCTCAGACGCGCTGACCTCACCCTGTCCGCGGTCCTGTTCACAGAACGAGAGCCACCAAGGCCCATGGTGTTCACCCAGAGGCGGCCCCGGACCCCAAGGCACATCTCAGAGTGTCTGGAGACATTCTTGGGTGCCATGACAGGGGCAGGCGCTGCTGGCATCTAGTAGGAAGAGGCTTCTAGCGCGCACAGGACAGCTCCCCACCAACAGAGAACTGTCTCTATCCCTGATGTCAGCAGTGCTGCGGTTAAGACACCACGATTTAGGTTAACAGGTTTGCTCTTAAAATTTCTGGCAAGTTGGTCATTCACACCTTAGCATGAAATAGTACAAACAAACGGATTTCTCCCTCAAGCTCAGGAGAATACCTAAGCCAAGGGATGAGGATTTTCATGGGAAAGGAGGCAGGAGTCGGGGAAGGGCAAGCCCCCACCCCGGAAGGGCCTTGGGCAGGTGAGACCACACTCACCAGTGGCGACCAGCTGGGCCAGCATCAGAGTCCCACAAACCAACTCCAAGTTTTCCATGTTGCTACTTTCCACCACGATGACCAAATGCTTTTACACCATCTTCCTGACACTCAAGAGACACATGGAGGACAGAAGGAGAGGAGGTGGTGCCAAGGTACCTCACGTTCCAGTTGCCTCCATGCCTGCAGAGGCAGCTGCAGCCTTGTGGGGAGGGGCTGGGGGCAGGGCCGAGACTCCAGCCCTGAAGGCAGGGTGTCCATCCGGGCCCTGCCCACTGGGAGGGGCGAGAGCTCTGCTCAGAGATGGGAGATGGAACGCAGGGCTCCCCCGCCCCTCCCCTGTGTCCTCTGACTGCCGTTGGGCTCCGCACTCGCTCCCCACCCCCGTGTCCCAGACAGTGGAGCTGGGAACCCAGGAGCCTCAGCCAGCTCCACGGGCTCGGCTTCAAACAGTGGCTGGCGGTCGGGGCACAACATAGCCCCTTCCACGAAGCCTGAAGGTCTAAAGCTGACCTCCACCCAGCGCTGCTAGTGTCCCCGACAAGACAAAACGGCACCTGGGGGTCCGGGCCGGTCTGCCAAGCATCCTCAGGGAGGCCGCCTGGACAGCCTGATCGGGACCCTCCAGGCCCACCCGCTCAGCCGGCCAGGGCGGACAGAGCCTGCCTGGCCGTGTCCCTCCTTCTGGCTGCCTCCTCCTCCCTGATCTTAGGCCCCACTCAGCCCACAGTCTAGAGAACCATCTGGATTGTCACGGACCCTGGGGTGGCGTGGCTGACCAGACGTCCATGCTGGCAGCGACCATGGCTGGGCTGTCCTTGCCCGATGCGACCTCAGTGGGTATCCCAGCCACCCTGGCCCTCCTGTGCCTCCTCCCCAGCCAGCCCCTGCGCAGAGACCCCAGGAGCAGCCAGCTCCCCCAGCTCCTCCAGACGCCTGTTCCTTCCTCCCTGGCCCACCCAGCGGGGCCGAGAGCAGCCTGAAGCTCTGCAGGTCCAGCCACCCAGCCAGCTTCCCCACCATGGCTGCCTGGGTCCAGCCACCCAGCCCTGACTCCAGGCTGACAGCCAGGAGCGTGAGTAGGGCCAAGACACGTGTGCACACACCTGCATACGCGCGTATAAGAGCTCTCTCTCTAGCAAGCATGAAATGCACAAACACAGAAACCCAGATGCATGTGCATATGTGCACATGCACAAACACACCCGGGCCTTACTCACCGCCCCCACCACGTCCCCACACTCCACACAGCCCCTCGCAGCCTGCACAGGGCCACGCCCAGGCCACACTCGGCAGGGCCACAGCCCACCCAGGGCACGCATGCAGTCCAGCACACCCACGGCCCCCTCCAAGACACACTAGTCCTCCCAGGAGGAGACACAACCACGGTCACCCACGAGGACGGTCACTCCTCACTGAGAAGGTTCAGGGTCTCCTCGTTGGGGTCTGAAGCCACTGTTAGGACACTGGACTGTCACCGCCAGGGCCCCCCCGGAGTGTGAGGGAGGGCGGTGAGGGGCTTCCTGCCTCAAGGAGAGGGCGCCAGGCACCCTGGGGAGACCAGAGCAGGAGACAGATCACATGCGGTCAGCTCAGCGAGGCCCCGCAGCCTCGACAGCTCATGAATTTTTCAGACGCTCCCAAAGTGCAAATCGAAGCTGCCAGTGGGGTGCTGGAGGATCCTGCTTTAAATTATTCACCAGGCGGCTGAGGGTGGAAGCTCCTGGCCCTGAGGCTGGCTCCAGGATTTGCCTCACAAAGCCTGGCTCGGGCACCAGCCCTGCAGTGACAGGCGGGCACCTCTGGGCCTCTGTGTCTTCCTTGGCAGTCAAGTTGGATGCGAGTCCCATGTCCTCAGTTTGGGCCCTGGCTACACCACCTTCCACCCCAGGGCTCACCATCTGGGCTGTGGGGACCTCAACCAGCCCTGTCCAGCTGCCCACGGAGTTTTCCAAGCTGGCACCCCACTCTCTACCCTGCTCCCCAGAACGCCTGTGGTGGGACAGGGCCTACCCACCACCAGCGAAAAGGAGGCCTGAACTGATACCTACACTCACCCAGCCGGCCTCAGCCCCAGCTCCTACGACCGCTCTCGGAACTGGACAGCACCATGCCGCAAGCACTGACCACAGCGTCACCAGCTTCCCACAGTCAGGCAGGTGCAGCCTGCTGTCCCCGGCCTAGCAGTGAAGCTGGGATAGGACCTGCTCCCTCATCACTGGCCCTGCTGCCAGGGTCAGCCATTCTCAGCTCTGTCCAGGAGCCCCAGCTCCCGAGAACCATCCAGAAGGCTCTCGAGGTCACAACTGTCTCCCCAATCACACCAAGGCGTTGTTCGTTTCACTCCTGCTCTGCCTGTACAGCGGAGCGCCCCAGGACGTAGCCTCGGTGGCGCTGGACGCTGTGGGGGCATTTCGGGACGCTCTGCCCACCAGCCTCCACTCCTGCCAGGCAGGCACATTTCACCCTACTTGTCTCCCCAGCCGGAGGTCTGGCCAAGGCCCGCCGTCCCCATACGCCCCTCCCATCGAGCGTGGACTGCTAAAGGAACCGACTGGAGTGGGGATCTCTGCATCCCCCCAGCTGGCAGTGTGCTGGACTCACG